AAAAAAATTTTTCATTCAAATATTAGTCCTTACATCATCATAAGTGACCTATGGTGACTTATTCCAGATAGTATGCTCCTGCTTTTTTATGATCGAAGGATATAATAAAAATAAACAAAACAAGCTATGATAAGTAGTTTTGTGCAAATAGCTCTTGATTTAGCTAATCGCCAATAAATTGATGCAATTAATAACAAAGCCCAAAGGAGGAAAATAAATATGATTATATTAATTAAATAAATTAAGGGATGGAATGTAGAGACAACTTGCATGGAGGTGAAGGTACTTCAAAAGTCGCTTATGAGTGAGAATATGTAAAGGATTACCGCCGACGGAATCAATCACTGGCAAACGATGTACCTTGTGCTCAAGCAGCATATGGACAGCGTCTAAAAGAGTCTGCTCTGGTGTGATGTAGATTAATGGGCGCTGGTATTCAATCAATTGCTCTTTATTTCAAGTATAAAATTAAAACAGGATAGATTCATTAATAATTTATTTAATGATACATAGTTGTCAGTTGTCAATGACAGTAGCATTAATGATCATCACCGTACAATATGATACAACCTGCTCCTTGAGCAAGTTCGAAATGATAAAAAACAGGATCATAAGTTCCCTTTTCTGGTGAAATACGCTTTCGGCAAGTAAGCTAATTTATGATTTATTGGATTAACGAATAATGTGAAAGATGACTGAATAATCAAACCGAATTACAAATTGACTGATGGCAGCTAATATACTTGCTTATATAGAAGAGAAATAGGATAAATTTATATGCGGAAGACAAAAATTATACCAGATATTGGTGTTCAATTAGTGAGAAATCGAGATGATTGACAATGTTGAAGACCCAAGTCTTAAATTTATTTAAAAAATGTTAGTCAAACAACTCAAAGATTAAAAAAATTAAGAGCCATCTAGAAATAGGAAATACGTATATTCGTGTAGAGACAATAAAATCGTATAAGTGAAGCAAGTAACTTAATCTTAGATTACTTTTTTTACTATCAATATCGAAGAATCCGATTTGGTCCTGAAGTTTGAATAATTTCGTCATTTGCTTCACAGCTATAGGGAAGTATCTAAATTCTCAAAGGTCTCAAGCCCATACAATTGTAACAGGTAAAAACGATCAATTAATCTTAATCCTTTCTCATATTCATATAATAGCAATG